GTAATCTCAAAAACCGTTTTTTTTTTTTCACTTGAAATCTTTCTTTACAGCAATTTCTAAATTTATAGTTTTGATATACATTTAGCTTAAGTCTGGAAACTGCAATCTTCTTACAGTTTCTTCAGCAAAAGAAAACTGTGTTAATAATATGGCCAGGAAAATTTTGAAAAAAAGAAGATGAAAAGCGTTTTTTCATGTGAGGCAAGTCGTTTGATTGCAACAAATTCTAGGTATCATCGATTTGCTAATTTTTCTGGATAAATTTTGTACATCTTTTGAGTTTATTAATGAAGGCCGTATAACCTACTATGCTTTCACCTCTGCTATTTAATATGAATTTCTTGTTGATGAAAAGTTATATAGTGTCTTCCATCAAAATCCCTTATCTTTTAAAGTGCCGTATTTGTGAGTGGGGAATTAATAACTGTTTCAAGAATATACAGTTGCTCTCCTTGAAAAAAAAAAAAAAAGACACATGAGATTGTTAGAAGTAACCAACTCGAAGTAGGTGGCTCGTTTTATTGCTAAGAATTGAGGTTATCGTTCAATTTTTTGTAAATTTATGAATGAAGCGACTGCAAGATCAATTTTATCAAGATTGAGAATAAGCTTTTTTGCTGTAAAATATTCAAAACTATTGTCTTTTACCGAAACTCAAAAGAAGAAGATTTTCATTCTATGTTAATTGAAGAACAGTCTTGAGCGCTTTTTCGATAAAGATACACTTGAGCGATTCTACTACAGTTAGACCGAAACATTTGATAGTAAAAGGAAGCTTGTCTTTCTGCATTTTCTCTGCCAAGTAATTCTTTAATGATTCTAATTGTTTGACTGTTTTAATTTACCACAGTTCAACGCACACTGCATATCTTAAATGTTTATTCTTTAGTCATTCAATCATACTGGTATGATTTGCTGAAGGTTTTGTCGACTGATACTTCTCCATTCTTCTTGGAAGTCAGTAAAACTGTGCAAAATTAGTATGATTCAATATTTCGACAATAAAATTGATTTATGAAAAAAAAGTTTTAAGACACTAACAAGCTGAGATTTTTGTCAGCCAAAACTTTACATCTTTAGAATATGTGGAACTTATATGTTTCGTTTATTTACTTTTAACTTAACCTCTCAAGAAGGCTCATGTAAATTGAAACTATAATTAGTTTACTCGGCGTACTCTAGTAACAAAAAGTGAGACGTCTTCAGTATTCAGGTTTGTAAACTGCGGTTATAGGCTCTTATCTGAATTCCGAATAGCTGAGGGTCCACAGTACAAATTCGAATTCGCCTTCTAGTTAAGTTTTTGGAAACTTTACACTGAATCCAAGTTTTATCAACAATTTTCTTTTTCATGATAACTATTCAGAATTTAACGCACATTGTTCATTGAAAAATGTTTTTACGCAGGAGCATCTTAATCAATCTCTTAAATTTCTTTTTTTTTAGCTTTCGGGTTTCTTATCGTCTCTAGGTTAGTTTAGATATGCTTCTTTCAAGTTGATACCAGTGATTTTCCTAAGTAGACAATTGTAATAAAACCAAGCGTCTAGAATAAAAAATTGAGTAATACCTAAATTTGCATCTATTTTGACAAAAAGAATATATCAAATCGTGTTTGTATACGTTTCGTATCTTGGTAAAACTTATTACTGGAATTTGAACTTAAAAATCTAGAATAAAATCTGGGACAGACTCATGATAAAGATCACTTTGAAAAACAACCTGAACAGCTATACTGTTTACAATTTTGAAGTTTCAACTTAATCTGTTATTTTAGGATGCAGGTGGTTTTATGGCGTTTTAAAAAAGAACTAAGTAAAAGCAATTTTTTGTATAATTCAATTTCAATTTTTTTTCTAATAAACTTTGCAATAGGTTTTGAGAAAAATAGATTAACGAAGGAAGTGAAAGGAAACGCAGTTGGAGCTTGTATGAGCTAAAAGCTCTTATGACATAGAAATAACATTAAAATATTATTCTTTAAACATTTTTAGGTTTTGCAAAAAACGGTATCAAATGTTTCGGTCTCTTAAAAAAAGAAATAATTTGTATATTGGATGTATGACCCGTAAAATTTAGTTATAAAATTTTTACTGCTTAATAATTAGGTTGCTAAATGGCCGAAATCTTACTCGAAACCGTGAAGATATGTGGTTGGTGCCTTACCGAAGCAATAGTCCACCACCTAGGATTACAATATCATTTCCTACCTCAGTGCCGTTGACTGGTAATTTTACGTATTGTTTTGTCTCAGGTTTATTTCAATGGTTAATGTAGTTGGTGACAGGTTCTTTGAAAAAATATGCTAATTTAAAAAATATTTTAGGTGTCTGCATCTGGAATTACAACGCATCATTGGAGATGTCTTACGCTGGAGTTCGACGTGTTCAGTTCTATTTTGACGGCAAACCTCTGACGCAGGTTACGCAACTCAGAAAAGCACCAGGTAGTTAAAGAAGTAATTTACGAGTAATTGTCTCTCAATGATTGTCAATAGATTAAGTGTTTTGGGGTTGTAAGATTAGCCCATAAAGTTTTCGGCAAATTTCAAATTGAATTCTTTTTGTCAAAATAAGCACCAAGAGCACTGCATTGTTGCTAACTTAAAAATAAACTTCTCATCGCATCAGTATGGAATTTGATCGGCTTGGGTGTCCAGCAACTGATTTTTTGAATTTTTGACATACCCTAAATTGCAAAAATTTTTATTACTAATGAAGACTCCAAAATTTTTAAAAGAAACAGAGTTCCGTAACATATTCTTCTCACTATTTGACATGTGACACATAAAATTATCATGCAGTAACAATTTCCCATTTCTGTTTGCTACTTGCAAGCGCAATTTTTTAATTTTTTTACGAATGTGCTGTGATTTTAAAGCGCACTTTTTACTCTGTTATTTGCTATTATATTTCACCAGGGTGAGAAGGGAGTCAGCGAGGACTAAATTAAAGGTACTAAGCAACGCACCGTAACCTTCGCAGTTTGCTAATGTAGATAAGCTTTTTGGACGAAGCCACTAGAAGAGTTTGTTATTATAAGCTATTTCAAAAATTATGTGAATTTTTCGATTTTCCACTTCTCTAATACTCCTGTTTTCAGGTTTTGTATTCTTCGACTTTGTGCAAGATGTCATCTTTCATCAAAGTTGCTTGTATCGTCCGCCTTCAAGATTTGATTCCACAATTATTTCGGGATGTTAGTTTTAAAAATAACTGTTTAAAAAGCAAAATGTTCAAGAGATAATTTACATTCTTCCTGCCGGGTTGAAAATACAGACAATTTTCTCAGCGAAAGAATTAGAAAATTTAAGCCGTGGGTTTTCTTCCACGTTTTCCTTTAAAAAAGATTATTTCACAGTGCTTGAAACTGTTGGAAGTACAAAAAAAAATATGAGATTTGTTGAGTAAAATAATGTGAACATCATTGATTAGTAATTTACAATCATTTTCTGCTTTTTCAGTTATATACCAAGTCCGGTTATTATCAACATGGGGCGATGAATTTTATATCGGTTTAAACGGCATCGAATTATATGACGAAAATGATCAACTGATCAAACTGGGACCGCAGAGTAAGTTAAGGAATTTGGCAGTTTATGAGGGAGCCTTTCGCATCAAACATAATATGATCCATATTGGTTTGCAGACATCGCTGCTTTTCCCGAAAGTGTGAATATTCTGCCAGGAGTGCATGGAGATCCAAGAACAAGCGAAAATCTTATTGACGGTATTAACGAAACGACTTGGTAAACTATAACCTGTGGAATTTCATATGAAAAACATAAGATTACCATCTTAATCGTTGCTGTGAATCATTAGTGGTTTAATGTTTTGAAAGTTTCAGTGCATCACATATGTGGCTAACACCGGTGCTTCCAAATCGCTGTGTTCGCGTCTTTGTGATATTTGATTATTCTATAAAAATTCTGAAAATTATTCTATACAATTACACAAAAACACCCGAACGAGGAGCAAGGCATGTTTCGGTAAGACTCTCTCTGATTGACACAAACCTTTTTGCGCACTAATTTCATTCGCAAATCGCTTTGATAATTAGAGACCATTTAAATTACATTAATTTTTTACAAAGCAAATCACCTCCAGATATTTTTCGCGTTCTTAAACCTTACAGGAGTTAAATGTATTTGCACAGAAGAAGGATATAAAAGAATATAGAATATAAAAGCCATTAATAATTTTAATCTTTATAATTGCAGGTTTCTGTCGACGACCTTATCGTTTTTAGTGGAGAAGTTCCACCTAGTACTCTGTCTTCAACTGGTAAACTAGTGATCATTTTGAAGGAGTAAACATCATCTTCCTTGTAACACCTAAGTCTCCATTTCTTATGTAAACATCACTAGAGTTCCCTCTCATTTTAACACCCTCTCAGTCCGATGTACAAAATGTAATGTCCTTTCTCGTCTCTCTGTCATCAAGGGAATCGGGTTCTATTAAGCGTCAAAGATGGTCATAATGCAAAAATTTCCTTCAGTTTTGATGAGGAAGAACCATATTGTTAGCAACAATAAATAACTGTACAAATTTTTTTATTGAACGACCAAGTAATCGTAATAACTAATATTTGCCAAACAAGTAATTAAAATCAACAAGATTCTTGAAGAACGTTCTTGGAAAACTGCGAACAGATGCTCCATAGACGATTTTGTCTATTGTTGCAACTTGGAAATTATTAAGAGCCATTTCATGCAACAAATTTTTGAAAGACAGGGCGAATAACAAACAAAGTTACAGACAGAGTGATGGCAACGTAAACAAGTAGATAGCTACAAGAGAATTATAAAAAGTAATAAGACGACAAATTTCCACTTTTATGGTACTGGTGACTGGAACGCGATGAAAGAAGACTACTTGTTTAATATCTTATGGTTTGAAGACTTTATAAAACCTCACTCTTGACTTAGGCAAGGAACTTAGTCAGTTTACTTGAAATAAGATCTAAGCTGTATTGGAGAAGTGTTGCGGAAATAAATTATCTAGTTTATTGTGCCGCATCATCCCCGTTGATACCAATACTGTTGTCAAACAATATGGGAGTAACTACTGCATCACCAAAAATTTCATTATTTTCTTGTAAGCTATAGTGTTGTTTAGCGGAAGCACTAAATAAAACTTCGAGAGCACCACAAGCCTAAAAATTAACTCTTTTTTCAAGCCCAAAAGTCATGATTCGGAATGAAGAATGTTAAGACTAAAGATACAATTTTGATTCCTTTAGATATCGGTAAACCAATGCAAAAAATGATTACCTGATGTAAACTTTTCTGTATAACAATCTCACGTCCGACTGCATCCAGCAACTTTTGAAATAGTTTGACAACTTTCACATCAACTTCCTCCTCGACATAAACTTCTTTAAGAATTTCACACAGCAGTTGATGACAAGGTTATTTAAGCGAAGAAAAAGCTGGAAAAGAAAAATAAGCAAACCTAAAAGCGCTTCAGTAACAATGTACAGAATCGCAAAATACTGTGGCCAGAAAAGATATCTGCTTAGGAATGAAATTAGAGGGCGTAACGTTTCAATATCTCGACCTGCCAGTGCAGCACGTAATGCATCCCGATCGTAAAGCTGAACAAGATGTAGATGTGATCTCGCTGAGGAATATAAAATGTTAAATAAAAACGGTGCTAACACAACCATCACCACATTCTCATACTCCTCAGTAAAAAATACTTCTTTATCTAATTGATTTAAAACGCTTTGGCTCTAAAAAGTATGTTAAGTGTTCAAAAATATGAGCAATAAATGACTTCTCGAAATGTAGCAACTATGGTATCTGGATTACTGGCAACATAGTGCGGGTTCCTAAAAAGTACATCGACTGCCTTCCAGTGTTTGAATTTACGTAAGTAATTATTAATTCTTCCATAGCGCAACTGAAACAAACTCAAGCACTAGCATCGCGGGTTTGTTGATTTTAAAAATGAGAAAATGTTACTCTACATTTCA